GAGTAATATTATTGCTATATGCCTTTCTATACTGTTTTCTCCCTCTAGTTGTTACCAAGAAAGATTATTGGTTGTTGTTTTTTGTTTTTTTTTTTAATGTGGAGCCACTCTGCTTCTCTGTAATTCCATTACTGCTTCTACATCCAGTGCATAGAAGAGCATTTCTCAGACCTTCACCTCACCTGCATCATTTCCCTGGGTTGAGTATCAAAATGCAGCTTCCAGGGCCTCAGGCTCCTGAATCCAGATTTTACCTGCAGAACCCAGTAGCCTCCATTTTAACAACCTAAGCAGAAGCACCTCAGAAGCACGCTGTAGGACAACATTCGGTGTCATGTGTGCACTAAGCTCATCTGGTCTCCTCATATGTGCTCTAGGTTCTTAACCCTTTATTGCATGATAAAGTTTCTAGATGCTTGGTGATCGTAGTTTTCTTCCTATGAATACTCCATAGTTTATCAAGGTCCCTATTAAATTTGGCACCCAAAATTAAATTTGCTTCTATAAAAATGGCTTATTAATGCAGAGCACAGAGGGACTGTTAATTTTCTTGATATCTGCTACTTATATTAAAGTAATTTAATGCTACCATACTTAACAATTACATAACTCCGTTGGTTTGTAGAATGTTTGGAATCATTCTAATCTAACTAATCTAAATGAAAAATCTCAAGTCACAATTTTTTTTTACCACTTGAACACACATATTTGTGCCAATTTAAATGCAAATATTTATATTTATATTTATCCCTGTTAGATTTAATTCTGTTAATATGCCATCTTATTAAGATCCTATTCAAGATTTGGTGTCCTATCTGTCATATAAATGCATGCATGGATGGCTTTATTCAGTATGAAATAGCCTTTACTAGAGAGCTATCATTCCCTGTTTTTTAACCTATTTTGTTTAAGGTTTTTATGATTGATTTGGATGAAGATAAGTAGAGCACCTCAGGGAAATATGTGCCAAAGTATTCAAAGGCACAGAGGTACCAATTTAAAAAAGAAAAAAAAATGAAAGAAAAGAGATTGATTAGACAGAATTATTTTATATTTTAAAAATATGAAATAAACTGAATTCTGGAACACTGAAAAATAAAATAAAATAAAATAAATTTAAAAATATGAAATAGAGTGGAAATTCACATAGTTTTTAATTAAGACAAAATAATTCAGAGAAATGTCTCTCTTTTGGCAGCCATTTAGGACAATTGCCCTGGTTTCTCAGATGTACATGTTTACTTTTCCCTTCCATTAAGAATATTCTGTGGAAAAGTTTGAGAAGCACCAACATAAGATACCCTATTTTCATGTCCTCTGCCAAGCTGAGAAGTCTGTGTTCATCCAGTCATTTACAAAAATGGAAAATAGGGGAAAGGCATCCTAACAAACACTTTCTCATGTTATTTAAAGCCATTACTAGACATTTTTGAGAGGAAGCAACCCTTATTACTCCACCAAGGCAAGACAAATAACATAGCCAGCTACTATTTGATTTTTAAGCAGTCCTTTGATGTCTGCCTATTAACCTCATTAAAAAATAAGCCATACTGGTTTATTAAAGCTTCTCCTTAGTTGACATTTGTTGGCTGCTCATGACCATAACATTCATTTCTGCATGCTCAAAAACAAGCCTTTTAACAATCTGTTGTCAATCCTACATGCATGAATCAAGTTGCCTCTAATTTCTAGAACCCACCCTATTCTTCTCTTCAAAAATAAAGATGAAAGTTAGTCATTTATGGTCTGTGGTATCTTTCCTATTTGCCATGAGTTTTCAAAGACTGCTAAACAGTAGCTCTGAGATTATGACTGAAAATTCTGTTACCACCCTGGTAATTTATCTGACCTCTTGAAAATATCCTGGAGTTAGTTTACTAATCTCTTACCTACCTTGGGCTAGAATTTTCACTTCAGTTAGTTTCTTCTCCATATTCAGTTGAAAAACCCATTTAGAAAAGAGAAGAAAAAATAGGAGTTGAATGATTCTGCTACTTCTTTGATATACTTCCTCTTATCATCTCTAAACAGTAGACTTCTTATTTCCTTTTTCTTTTTAACAACAACATAAAAGCCTTCCAGTTCCTTCTGGTCAACTTTACCATATTTTTTATCCTGTTTATTGGGGCCTTTAGTTTATGGTGCTTTCATAATAGATTGCTACACTTCTACCTTCACCTTGATCACTCTTCCTTCTTTATACCTTCTACATATATTATTTAAACTTTCAGATGAGTAGACAGCCATTTAACTTCCCTGTCTGTTTTATTTAAATTATTTCACAATTATTCAGCTAAGATTTTTTGGGTTTTTATCATCTCCCTTTGTTAGCCATAATCCCTTTTTGAGACTCAAGTCTATGGGTCAAAAATTTTTTGTCTTTGAACTTTTTGTATAAATTTCCCAAAGTCTAGGGGACTTGTCTGACTCTAAAGTCCAGCATTTTCTTTGGCAGCCCTCATAAACCATGAGCTTGGAGTTCTCAACATGTTTTATGTGATAGCACATCATTCATGATAGTCTCCCAGGTGACACACCCTCACCATTTACCCATGTTTTACAAACGTCTAATATATCTTGTCTGAAAGTAAAACATTGCGATCATATTTAATTGTCACATATATTGGCTGTATGTCAGTTCTGATTGCTCTCTACAATGGTGGTGGTGACATTGGCAGGCTGTTGATTATGCAGAATTCTATGCTGCTTGCTACATCAACCTTTTCTCCCCCTCAGGAAAGCATACTTGTAAGAACATAAGAGCAGTAATATCATCAGATATCATTTGCCTACCCTCAAATGTATGTATTTTTAGAAAGTAGCTGGTTTACAATTTTAGTTCTTTCACTATTAGTAACACATTCCTTAGGACTCACTTCATGGGCCAAGACCAAGTTGTAAATGACAGAAGTGCCTTCTCTTCTCCACACCAGCAACTAGTTTCTCCTCATTGGTCAAAATTAAATGCAGACTTTTGGTTATGAGGACCATCAGTAATTTACCTGATCAGGGTGGGCCAAGTCTCCTTTCTTAACAGATAACCCTCCTTTGTACAATTTGGGGGCCACCTGCCTCAGTAGTCCATAACATTCTCCTGTAGTCATTATTTCTAACATGGTAGTGCTTTGGCAGTCTGTTTATGTGAACCTTTTAAATATGGCAGTGAATTCCATGATGTCTGTAGAGTAAAGAAATGCAAGTTTTTGCAGTCTTTTAATTTAAAATACGTTGATCTCAACAGAATTTGAAGCTAGACACAAAATTGTAAAAAAGTATTTTTCTAACAAATCTTAACAATGCATACTGAATTTAAAACAGTTAGATGTTTCGACAATGCACTCAGTGATGAAAGCACCAAGGACAAGCTGGAAAGGAAAGAGAGAGAAAGGAGAGGAAATTATACAAGATGGGACATTTGAGAGTTCTGGACAGGCCATCCATCTATGCTGGCCTCCTCCTAATACACAGAATATGTCTAAACTAGAATTCTTCTTCCTTTTTAATTAAGAGCCATGTGGAATGAATGATTTTTCGTTGTTCAGCTGCTTGTATTGTAATTTTCACAGTGTATTACATTGAAGCCAATCTATTGCCAATACAAAATATAGGATTTTCTTGAAAATTGCTTCTCAGAATATTTCAAGACTTTTGACACACGTTTATAAACATGTTCTGTATTCCAAAGTCTCCAATAAAGAGAATATAATCTTTAGTAAAGGTAGTCATAAACTTTTTTCTAAAAAAACCTAAATTTTATGTATAAAGCCCTTTTCTACCTATTTGTGTGCCCCACTCCATTTCAATTTCCCTGATGTTTTTACCTAGAAAATTTGACCAAATTAATCCATTGAAGCTGTTCTTCAAAATCCTAAAACATCCTTTTCAGTCTAAAAAAGACTTCCAAGTTATTCCTGTTAGCCCGAAGATCAAAATATAACATGGCAAAAGACAAACAGCTTAGCTATTGTCCTTTGGCTACCTGAGTATCTTCTGACAAAGCTGAAGCTAAAAAAGGAAAGAAAGACAGAAAAAAGGAGGAGAAGGAATAGAGTAAACATCACAATATTAAAGAGATTGTTTCAAAAGGAGCACGTATTTTTTTTTTTTTTTAAGATCCATAACGGGTGAGGTGCATAAACAATAAATTTTGGAACACACACAAAAAAATTAAATTAAATTTTAAAAAAAAGATCCATACAGTCTGTTAGCAAATGTATTAGGATGCAGTGGTTACTATTTTTAGAAATGGCCTTACTATTTTCATGATCCTCTTTTTAAACTTCTTTTTGCTAATACTTAAAAACTTTAAGGATAAAGGAAAATTTTTTTCTTGCAATATTAATACAACTGTACAGTCTTGTAATGCATAATGGTACCAAGAGTTGGAGCCGTCCCTTTCCATTGGGTTGGATTTAACTTTAATGAATGGAAAATTTTGTACTTTCTCACTCTCGCCCACTAGGCAATGGCAGTGAATACCCATAGCAAATGCCATAAAGCACTTCAAACATGAATGAACATCAAGGCTTAGCTGGTTGTACTAATCTTTCTTCATTTCCCAAAAAACTATCTATTAAAATTCAGACTTCAATTTTTTACAACTATTCTCACATGAATTTATTTTTAAGAACTAAAACATTACTCTAAAGCATACTATTAGCTTATTAAGAACTACCCTAAGAATTATTTCTATGGCAGTCTTCCACACAACAAAAACCAAAACTATTTGTTTTTTCAGTTCAGAAGTCGCATGGTAGTTTTTAAGTAATCTCTACACCCAACATGGGGCCCGAACTTACAACTCCAAGAGTTGCAGGCTCTACAGACTGAGCCAACCAGGTGCCCCTCACATAGTATTTTTTTTAAGCATAATTAAAAACACTCCATTTGTGATTTTCATAAAGGATATGAAAGTCTGAACAAAAGTCATCTACATCCTCAGATCCTTAACTGCATGGAAGAAATTTTGTGGCATTCACATGTCCCTAAGTTGTAAAACCTTAGCAATAATACTCTGGCCTTGAACCTTCACTTTTAAAAGTCACCTGAGATTCCACACTTGACCTAGAACAAAGCAGCAATTTTTCTGAATCATCTCTGTGCCTCCGAGTCCAAAGTTCCCCTACACTTTGAGATCTGGGGAACAGGGTCTCAAATTGGATATAAGTTTCTTTTGCCAGATCATCTTCCCAGAAAGATTCTGACCCACATTGCAGTTTACAGACTTTGTACAACAGGAAAAAAATCAATGGCAAAACAACAACACAGGCAATACTGCTCACCACGACAAGGAAAGACACTTGAGAATCACCTTCTTCTTTCACTCTGTCAGTAGAAAACGTAATACATTGGTCTTTCTGGGGAGGTGCTCCTTTTGGACAGACACATGCTGTGTATTCCCTACCAGGCTCCAAGCCATCTATGGTTACTTGATTCTTGCTGGAGTCTGCATTCAGCAGCAGCAGATCTTTCTCACCGTACTTGGAGTACAATACGGTCATCTCAGACTGGTGTGTGGTATTGACGGTGTTCCACATCAAAGTCACACTCTCTTCAGTCTCACGGACTATCCTGAGATTTTCTACTGTGGCATTCTTTTCCATTGGTGTCATTTGATTCACTGATGCCAACTCTTCTTTTTTACTTGCACTAGCTGAGGGAAGCTTACTTCTACCTACTTCCACCTTTAAATTTCTTTTCCCATCTGGGCGGAGCTGGAGTGACTGCTGGCTGGCAATGGTGGGGCTTGTTGAAATTCTGTTGCTTGGAGTTGTGGCTGAAGACATGATGGAGGAGGGTAAAGTAGATGAGGAGAAGAAAGCAGCGGAGGGAGGAGATGAAGTAGAAGTAGAAAGAAAAATGGAAGAAGCAGGGAAGGAAGAAGGCCAGGCAGATGACCGTGAACCAGGTAGGGATGTAGCTCTAGATCCTGGCTGGACTTCTTCCTCAGGGTGATCTCTAGTTCTTTCAGAGATATCTGATGATAGAGTAGTCGTGATAACACCAACCACTGTCACAGTAACCACAGCTTCTGACATTCCAGCCAGATTTTTGGCCTTACATTTGTAATCCCCAGCATCCTTATAAGAAATGCCTGTCAAGCTTATTATGGACCATCTGACTCCTTCCCCTGGAGATTCCTGAATTACTGTAAGAAAAAATACATATACTCTGTAAGGGGAAAAAAAGGAAAAACTCAAGGAACATGCTAACCGATCTGGTTCTACATGCATCCTTTTCACATAAACCAAGAGGGAAATAGCACACAATCACCAGTCTTTGATGGCAGGTATAGTTAAGGTCTAGGATATGCCAAGTACCATGAGGTCTGTATGGGGAACGGTATTTTAAAAAGACACAAGGCTGTGAATTGGGAGACTTAGCTTTAGTAAACGTTTGTCCACAGATGAGTATGTAATTTCAGATAAGTCAATTAGGATCTTTAGGCCTCTGTTTCTGTATTTTTAAAATAAGGGGATAAGACAAAGTGGTCTCAAAGATGCTCTCCAATTTTAACTCACCATGGTCCTATAAAATGGTTATTATAAGATCTTACTTAAATATTTCCCAAAATATTTTTTCATTGTCATATAATGCTATCTAGCTACATAGCCAGATGGCATAACAGATCATTTTCTGGCATAGAGAAGTCATAATTAGTATTCTCAGTCTTTAATTTTATATTTAATCTAGGTAAGTTAATAAGCCATGGGTTCTTTTATTTGTAGAATAATATATAGTTTTAGGGGCGCCTGGGTGGCTCAATGGGTTAAGCCTCTGCCTTCAGCTCAGGTCATGATCTCAGGGTCCTGGGATAGAACCTGGCTTCAGGCTTTCTGCTCAGCAGGGAGCCTGCTTCCCCTCTCTCTCTGCCTGCCTCTCCGCCTACTTGTGATCTCTCTCTGTGTCAAATAAATAAATAATCTAAAAAAAAAAAGAATAATATATAGTTTTTGCATTGGAATTTTACTTTCCTAAACACTGAAATCTAACATATTACCATTCTGTCTTGATTTCAGAAGCTTTCTGAAGAAGAATAATATACTAAACAGTATCCTAGTATCCCAAAGTTTAACTTACTACTTTAAGCCGTGGGCCATTTACTATCTATTTGTAAGAATATTAGGCCTTGACTATTTCTTCTTCCATCGGGTTTCATTATTTTTACTTTGATTTACATTTACATTTATTTTACTTTGATTTACATTTAATTTTTTTAATTTAATTTTATTTTTTCAGTGTTCAAGATTCATTGTTTATGCACCATACCCAGTGCTCCATGCAATGTGTGCCCTCCTTAATGTCCACCACCAGGCTCACCCAACCCCCCACCTCCCTCCCCTCCAAAACCCTCAGTTTGTTTCTCAGAAACAAATAAAATTTACATTTAATTTTAAATATATCACTAGTTTTTTAAATATATCACTTTAATTCACCAGAATATCACTACTGAAACTAAAGCCAAAGCACTGAGTTGGTTATAGTAGGATCTAAAAAGTCTATGTAACCAGTATTTCTAAAAATTACACTTTTTGCTTCATGATAAGGTTTGTATGTAATTTATTATTTAAATAATCCTTCAAAAATGAGAAACTTGCATGAAAATCTTTTCTAAGAAAACTGTAATAGTTATACATTTTTACGTGAGTCATATCCAAAATGATGCAGCAAGACAAGGGGCCTTATTTGGAATCGTCTATCCACTGGATCATGTTTTCTATCCAAAAAAAATCATATTGTCTAATTTCATCTATGTAATTAGATAAACTGAGGAAAATAATTAACAAATAAAACGAACCTTTCAAATTTCTTTCATACAACAATCTTGGCATATTTTATTAGAATTTACTAGTCAATTTTAGGGATGCCTGGGTGGCTCAGTTGGTTAAGCGTCTGCCTTCGGCCCAGGTCATGATCCCAGGATCCTGGGATCGATCCCTTTATCAGGCTCCCTGCTCACAGGGAGTCTGCTTCTCCCTCTCCCTGTGCCCATGCTCTCTTTCTCTCAAATAAATAAACTCTTTTAAAAAAGGAATAAAGAAAATACCTGTGTGATTAACTGGTGAGCTGTCAGACCTGGTCCATGTGAGCTGTGGGGTAGGGTAGCCAGTAGCATCACACCGCAGCAGAACATTACTGCCCAGAGCAGATGTGATCTGGGTGGCCGAGGTCATAACAGACGGCTTCAGACACTGCTCCAGCTCAGCCCGCTGAAACAAAATCCCTGTCAGGCGCTCAGGCTCGCTACAAATCATTAGAGGATCAAGCAGCACTACAGCAGGGTCAGCAACTTTTGACAGCTCGATCATTTTGGAAATGTGGCAGTCACAGAACCAAGGGTTGTCCTGCAGACCTAAACCAGAAGGGAGGAAAAGATTGACAAAGATTATTCTGTTGACTTCTGTTTACATCACAACCTCTCAGGCAAGCAAGTATCTGTATTATCTCCCTAAAAATAGAAGTGCTTTGAGAGATGGAATGGAGTCGCCTCCCTGTCAATTTTGCTCTGCAGTTTGGCTACCTGAATGAATACAGCCTGTCAGGTCAGGTCATTAATGATCATAGCCAACATTTATTGTGCATGTACTCTGGGCAAGACTCTGTTCTAAGCGCTTGTCTATATTATTTCATTTAATCCTAAAAATCCTATGAGAAAGAGGATTACTATCCCCATCTTAAGAATGAAGAAGCTGAGATACAGAGAAATCAAATTATTTGAGCAGGGCCATATAGCTTAATCAGCATCCGAGCCAAGGTTTTAATTCAAGTACCACAGAATACTATAAAACACTGCTAGAGATATTTCTAGAGTGCTCGGGAAGTATATTATTGTCAATATTGGAGGGTGTAGAGAGAACCCCTAATTCAGCCCTCACTATGTCATGGTTTTGCAAGGTTTGAAGATCTGTGAAGGTAGTACAAGTTCTGTGTAGCAAAAGTACAGAGTGAGATGAAGGCAATGTCAGGAGATAAGACTGGAGACCGGCAGAGGCTAGAACAGAGCTTGGCATAAATGTCATATATGGTGGCCAAGAAGGTGCACTGCTCAAATCCCCCTTCAAGAGAGAATCAGCAGCAGAAATACAGTTAGCTGACAGCCTCCGGTTGGAGGACTGCCTCCCTCAGCTTTCAAACTGTTAGCAGAAGTGTGTTGGCCTTCAAGGGGACCATCAGTGAGAGCTTTCAAGGAAAGTGAGGAAAATATAACTACTGGAAACTAGAGGAAAGCAGACCCTTTGATGGTGCGGCAGAAAGTTGAGAAACATTGTCATGCGTGGTTAAGTATAAAGTGGAAAGTATAAAGTGCACTCAAGGAAACGAACATTCTCGCTAAGGATATTTCCATACCAAGTACTGCAAGTGCTACCTGGTGTCTTCTTGCTGCTCATGGTAAAATGGAAAGGACAGTTAAAGGAAGAACTGTTAAAGAGAAAGGAGCCAAAACTTGCAGGGTTCAGTAATAAAACTGAACATAATAAAAAAAATTTTTAAATAAAATTCAAACAAAAAACCCTGCTTCTTACTCCCAGCCTCTCCAAAGTTCTCAAACTAAGAAAAGGGCTTCCGAGCAAAAATCAAATAAATCCAGGGAGGGTGAAACTATAAAATTATTTGCTAAGATCCCAGAAAGATCTAAGACAGTGCTTCAGAGCCGTTGGCAGACAAAAGTCTCTCTAAGGCTATTAAGGGGTGATAATGTCCTACAACAGCTTCACATAAAGCCCAAGGTTGCAAGGGATTTATCTCAATAATGTTTGTGGTTGTGGGTTTTTACTAATAAAGTAGATTATACATTGATTCATAAGGAAAAAAGACAGAACTGCAATTTTAAAAAATGCTAACCATGTTGGAAGATTTAACTGTCCATTTGTAAATTCTATTTAGGTCTATTTTTGTTTTAATATAAATTTCTATATATGTCTATTTTTATTATATTAGCACTTGATGATTGGTTCATATTTTTCTGCCAGTATTAGTAAAAACTTGCTGGGTTTTTTTTTTTTTTAAATCTTCTATCTTAGAAATTTCATTTCTTCCATGGGTGAATCACCTTGAACTTCTTACATTTAGTCCTGTATGTCTATGACCAGTCTCTAATATCCACCTTGCCAGCAAACATCAATTTCATTCTGTCACATAATAATTAATATGTGGATAAAACTTTATGCTCTCAAAACACTTGTTATGCTAGATTTTTGCTTTATAAAATAATAACAAAACAGGTTGACAGTCACTGATTGCTTCCTATGTGGCAAATATTGTACTTTGTCAAGAATTGTAAAAGGTCTGAGCTTTATACTAGTTTAGGGGGACTAACACCTCCCAGTTGGCAAAAGACATAAGACTACTGGTCAGAGACGGAGGATAGTTTACAGCTCTGGAGGAAGACATTTCTTCATTATACCAGGCAGTAAACATGCCTACCGTTTCTCTGGACAGAGACATATCTTTACCTTCCAAAGCAGTTCTGTACACAGACGTCCTTAAAAAGATAGTTCAGGACAAAAGACAGTCAGTGATGGTCTCTGCTCACAAGACATGCAGAAATGTGAGAGGCCATGGAAAATTATCTTCCAACAGTACTAAGCATGCTAAAGCATTTGTCTACTTCAATCCTGACAATAGCATGAGGTAGATAATACTAGCATCATACTCATTTTAAAGAGGAGAAAGCCAACACTCAGGTTAAGGGATCTTTCTGTGGTCATACAACTGAATATAGTCAGGATCTGAACCTTGGTATCCTCAGAGCTTTCATTCTCAAGCTCTATATGTCCTACACTGACCTCATGAATGAAGTTAGTATGATTCTTTTGAGTTTCACATCAGAGGACACTAAAGCACAAAGAGATTACTGCCTTGGTTCTGTAAGTAGCTTAGAGTCCTAAGTCCCAGATTTTCAGCCTCCTAATCTAATATCCCTTCCACCATAACTCATTTCATCACCTAAAAACGTCTAGAGCCAGGGGTGGCAGCTATAAGTGCTGTTATCTATAAACACATGTCAAAGCAGTGATGTCTGGAGCACAAATGTCTACATAGGGGAAGATCCAAGAACTGTAACATTTACAGTTTTATTCATGCTATGAAACTGTCATAAACCTATGTTAATGGTGAAAGAAAAATTTTTTTAAAGATTTATTTATTTGAGAAAGAAAGAAAGAGTGTGCCTATGCTCGCAAGCAGGGAGAGGGGCCGAGGGAAGGACAGAGAGAGTCTCAAGAAGACTCCCCACGAGCATGGAACCCCATGCAGTGGCTCCATCTTACAACCCTGAGATCATGATCTGAGCTAAAATCAAGAGTCAGATGCTTAACCGACTGAGCCACCCAGGTGCCCCTGAAACAAAATTCTTTTAAAAATTAATCCAACTGGCTATGTCTTAAAGTTATATAAAACAGGAAAATATTTTTTAAATCCTTAAAAATAGAGTATTTATTCTAGCTTTGAAACATCAAGGTCAAAGGCACAACTTTTAAAACCTGAATAATAAGAGTGACCTGAGGGCTGAACCAACTCATCAAGTGTTTTGTTTTTGTTTTTGTTTTTTTTTCCCTTTTGGGGACAAAGGTACAAGAACTCCCTGAAGTTAAACTATTATTTGTACTGCATTCCTTCAAGGCAACATACCAACCACAATCACAGTAATTTGCACTAATTAATTTAGTTCAACTAACTATTCTTGGATAGGGGCAAATCAATTTTGCCTTATTCCTTTTCTAAAAGGATAATGTTTTCCATGCATCACAGTAGTTGAATTAAATGTGTTATTTTTTTTTTGTGAAAAATTCGCAATAAATTTCTGTACAAAAGTAATTCTGCTGACTACAAGCTCTTGAAAGCAAAAAATCATACCTTAGTCAGTTTTGGGGTGGCAGTGGCATTTAACAATTCAGGAGGGAAAGTAAAGTCTTTTCAACAAATGGTGGGGGGACAACTGGACATCTGCTTAGAAAAAGCCTCAACCCCTGCCTCACACTATACTCAAAAACTGTTTTGAGACAGAACAAAGTCATAAGCATAAAAGATAAGAATATTTAAAAAAAAAAGGTAAGAATATTAAAGCCAGTGGGGTCCCTGGGTGGCTCAGTGGGTTAAAGCCTCTGCCTTCGGCTCAGGTCATGATCCCAGGGTCCTGGGATCGAGTCCCGCATTGGGCTCTTTGCTCAGCGGGGAGCCTGCTTCCCTTCCTCTCTCTGCCTGCCTCTCTGCCTACTTGTGATCTCTGTCTGTCAAATAAATAAATAAAATCTTAAAAAAAAAATTAAAGCCAGAAATTGAATATAAAAGTTAAAACTATAAAGAAAATAGAATTTCTAAGACTTGTAGGTAGACAGGTATTTCTTAGATGAGACACAGAAAGCACTAACTATAAAAGAAAAAAACTAATAAATCAGATGTCATTAAAATTTAAAACCTTCTTACCAAAGACACCATGAAGAAAATGAATAAATAAATCACAGGTTTGGAGAAAATATTAATAATACATATAACTGACAAAAGGCTTGAATTCAACAATTAAAAAAACTTTTAAAAAATTATATATTGGCATAAAGGAATATAGCAATGAGCAATAACCCAATGAAAGCATGGTCAACAGCATTAGTCATCAGGGAAATGCAAATTAAAATCACAATGTCAAATCACTGCCTGACCCATCACCCCCAGGAATGGTGGAAATGAAAAAATCTGATAACATCAAATGTTGGTAAGAATATGGAGCAAGTAGACTGTTGTGCAGTGCTAGTGGGAGTGTACAATGGTACAACATCTTTGGAAAATTGGCAGTTTCTTAAAAAGATACATAGCCATCCTATGACCTAGCAATCTGAAGCCTAGGAATTTATCCAAAAGAAATGAAAATATGTGCTACAAAGAGCTTTGTGTAAGAATGTTAATAGCAGCTTAATTCATAATAGCTAAAGACTGGTAACCGCCCATGTTTCCAAAAACAGGAGACAGGATGAACAATTCATATATTTGTAAAACTGAAATGACTCAGCAGAAGGAACTACCCATTCATGCAACGACGTCGATGAATCTCAAAAACAATAATGCTAAATGAAAGAAGCCAGGCACAAGGGCCATCTTGTATGATTTCATTTATGTAAAATTCTAGGGCAGACAAAATTAACCTATTGTGATGAATAAAAACAGTGGTTGCTTGAAATGGAGGCACCTGGTCGAGAAGCAGCACAGGGGAATTTTCCAGCGTAATGAAATTATTCCATATCTTAATGAGGGTGTGGGTTTCGTCAGGGTATATCATTTATCATCATTTACTAAGCTGTACACTTAAGATCCACGGTATGCAAATTATACCTCAACTCCTCAATTTAGAAAAGGCTTAAAAAACAAAAGAATGATATCTCTGGGGATGGAGTGAACTTGAAGCTTGACTCTGCTTCTTCACCAGCTGTACAAAGCAGGTAGTAATTACAGACCCACTTTACAGCCTTGTCCTCAGATCCTACCAAGGAGTCCTCAAAAGAGCACCTGGCAAGGAGTTCACTTATCTATGTGGATTTATCTCCTCTGTGCCTCAAAAAGAACCAGCTTATCAACTGGGATTGAGGAGTGTTCATTGAATGAAATGAACACCATTTTAGAAAAATTTTGTGGAAATACTCGTGTGGTTACTGCCCTTCAGGTAAACTTCATTCTGAACAGGAAAAGAATTCATGTTTGCAATTGAGCAAATTCGAGTAGCAATAAAGCAACCAACAAAGCATTTAATGCCCTCTCCTCCTGCAAGCTTTTTCCAGGACAAAGAGTGTTGGGCCTTATAGAGTCTGCCTGTGTAAATATTTGTATCTTCCTGAGGAAGAGGCCATGGAAATTTACCTGCATCGCAAATAAAAAATCCAGTCTAGTTTCACACTTCATTTAAATGTTTACTTGCAGGACACTAGTTTATGTTTGTATAATACATTGGAGGACAATTTTGTTAAATTTTTTTTAACTCATGTAGAAATTTTTACTCATGTAGAAAAGAGGAGTAATGGAAAAGCCTCTTCCTAATTTTTTAAAAATAAATACACTACTTAAAGATATCAGTAAGGCGTATGTGAGGAAGACAACTCTGATATTATCCCATACAGTACCCTGCATGATGCAGGAGTGGGGAACATCACGAGTCGTGCAGTCAAACCACCTGTATTCACCCCAGCTCCACCACTGTGTGATGAGTAAGTCTGCGCACATGGCTTAATGTGTGTCTCCATTCTTCTATAAAATGGGGATGGAATGGTACTTACCACAGGGTTAACATGAGACTGGGAGAAGTTATATCTATAAAATGTAAGAACAAGTTTTGGCCCTGAGTAAGCACTCCATTAATATTAGCTACCACTATTATTGTTACAAACATAACTTCCATCTGCTCACAATAATAAACAAAGGACACTAACAAATAAAAGCAGAATATATCCCACTGTAATAATAGAAAAGTAAATTCCGCGGGGTACCTGGAAAGATACAGTTGCAACAGTTATACACCAAGTTCTAGAAAAGCTAGCATTGGTTTTCATCACCGTATTTTAATGATGAAATTCGAAGACTCAAACACAAGTAAAATAACAGAAAAAGCCAAAATAGAGGAATCTTTCTTTATAAGACACTCCCATCTCCGTCACAGCTGCTATGGCTTATTGTTGATCTAAAATCATAACCTTAGAGACTGTTCACCTCATATTCTAAAGAACTATCCCATAAACTATCTCATAATATTCTCATTACAATCCTATGAGCAGGAGGGAGTGAGTCTTCCTACCTCCATTTTCCAGATGAGAAAACTGAGTTTTCTGTGTGTGATTCACACATATGAGCTAGTCTTCTTTTAGAGGAGAGTACTTTCTTCCCTTTCGTTACATAGCAGGCATGGCTTTGCTAAGATCAGCTGCCACATATGACTGGACATGTTTCAAATTATCTTTTGTTATTTATATCATGATTATCATCATTACTATGAAAGCAATGCATGATTGCTGCAGAACATTTTGAAAATACAGAATACTGAAAAGATGTCCCATCACCAAAGAGGACAGTTAACCAGCTAGTGTATTTTTCAGTCTTTTTCTTTGCACATTTTAAAATAGTTATGATCGTGTACAATGACACATCCTGTTTTTTAAATTTAATGTTATATCAAAAGGATTTTCATGTTACCCCTTTAAAGAATCTGCTTTTGAAGAATCTGAACCCCATAACAGAGATGTTTATCTCCATGTTTATCTTCATGAACAGTGAAATTTCATAACCCTTTCCATTTCATCCCTAAATTTTCACCCAGATTTAATTCACAATGGAAAAAATATTAATGTCCTGCAAATCAGTTCTTTATAGTGATATTAACAATATTAGTGACTAATCATTAGAGAGCTATTAATAGTAGTTCGGTAATTTGATTTTATTTTCCACTATATAGCTCCTTTTGGCAAATCTAAAGAAACTTAGAAAAATGTGTAGGAAAAAAATGTGTAGAGAAACAGAATCTCATTATTTAAATTAAGATAGTTTCTAGCTATTAGTCACAAGAACTAAATTAGTGGCTAAAATAAATACTACAATATAGGCTTACATGGTGTCTATCACGGTAGACATAAGGACTCCATAGCTATTGTTAAATTCATGTTTTTTTCCCTAGCTAACCCTATAATATTTCTTTTATTCTTTAATAAAAATGATTGAAGCACTAGATAAGCAGTAGGCAAACATAAAATAGGTATAGAATAAATAATTACATGATTTTTCCTCTTTGTTTGGTTATCACTCACACTTTTAGTCTCATAAGCACCAAAATGCATTTACATTTCAACCAAAGCAATGCTAAAATCATTTAAATGCTGCCACAGCATTTTCCTTTTTATCAAAAAAAAATTTCAAATTATTTATACTTGACTTCAGCAAATATTTGAGCATGTGATATTGGTCAGCAGGGATTCCTGGCATAAATTCAGCATCAAGTTGCTTCTCACACCAAAAGGCTTGTAAGTCATTTCATTGGCCAAACAATCAGTTCTTTCATCCCAAGAAATACAACCTCTTCCATGGCCCTATGGACGTCACGAGTGAGCTGACAACACAGCCTTATTGGGTGAACAAGAATTTAGTAGGAGATCAAATTGACTGATCAGAGCCTTAGGCTTGTGTCTCACACAAAAGTATGAGAGGCCTCACTGCCCGCAGGTACCCCTGAGAAGGGTCTCAGTTCACTGATTTCAATCTGGCAACCTCATTTACTGGGCATTCTCCATGTGCAGAGCACCATGCAAAACACTGTGGGAAGGTACTTTAAAAAAAAAAAAAAAGAAGAAGAGAAAGACTTACTGGAAGGAGCTTACACTTTAAGAACCCAAGACAAATACCCACAGAACCTAAACAAAGTCAAGATCAAAGTCTGCAAAACAAATCACAGCTACACTAATCCATTAGGAGATTGTCTTCATCATTTCTTTTTAGATTAAGAGACTCTGGAAGCTATTCTCCTGAACTAATAAAACCACCACCACCTTGTAAAGATGCCAGTGCCCCTCTTTCACTCCTGAAGAGTCTGATGAAGGGCTGAACAGAGAACAGAGCAGGTTGGCTGGGGCAGGGCATGGAGCACTGATGTGCTCTCAGAATTGGGGCAGGGGGGTGGATTTTATCACTGAGCCCCAAGCTAACAGCAGCGTTAGTCTCTTGGTTTATGAGGGTCTCTCCTCTCCCTCCCAACACACACACACACACACACACACACACACACACACACACACACACTGCTGCCCTCACTCCAGCGCACACAGCCATTACACCTTACACAGGGTAAGGCCTAGAACTGACCTAGATCAACCGATAAAGTACCAGCCCACCAAATGTGCAAGTAGAGAGTAAGAAGTGAAATTTGACACATATGTAAAGACTGGGCAGCTGAAGCCTTGCAAAACAAATTATCTGGACCTGAGAAGCCCAGAGGCTTCTGAGCTTACCAAGAACAATTCTTCGTGGTGTAAGTTCCAGGCTCCGTGATGATGTAAGTGAGTGGGACCAGCTCTCCAGGAAATCTGGTGGTAGTGTGGTCAGCCTATTGCTCGATAAATCCAAGTAGGCAAGGTTCTTCAGGTACCTGACCACCTCGTTTGGCACACTGGTTATTCTGTTGTTGTGCAAGTCCAGGGTCCTCAGATGGGGCATGTCCAGCAGAGATGCCCAAGGAAAAGCAGCCAGAGAATTTCCATCCAAGCGCAACTCATGTAGCTGCTTGAGGTTGTAAAAGCTGCTGGCCTCAAGGCTGGCCACGGAATTGTAAGTCACCCAAAGGTACTGGAGCTCCACCAGGTAGTAGAAGGCCTCTGCGGGGATCCTGCGGACCACAGTCTTCTCTATCCGCAGCTTCACAGTGTCCACGGGGAAGTTCATAGGGACCTCGTTCATATCCATGTCATTACATAGAACCGACCTAGTGTCACAAGAGCAATGGAAGAAAACCTGCTTTCCAAGACCCATGGGAAAAAATAATACTTGAAACATGCATCAGGTTTTCATTTCCTCCTGGTTTTCACAAAACAGTTGTTCAGCCTGACTGACCTATTCATAATTCATCATCATCATCATCATTACCATCATCTTCTTCTAGATTGAACCATATGAAATGGTCACTTTTGCAGGTTAAAAATGAACAAATATCAGCAATCTCGTGGTTCAGCCTAACACAGATGGAGCTCTCTATGTGTCAGGCCTGGGCAACATATCACATCCACCCTATTTAACCAGCAACAGCCCTAGAAGGTAGATACTGGGGAAAAGAGGTAAAGGCACCAGCTCTGGGGTCAGGCTGATCTTGGTTCAGATCTAAGCTCTGCCACTTCCTCTGTGGCCATGAAAAGCCACTTCACCAATCCCTCCATTTCATTTTCCCATATAGCCTGTTATAATTAAGTGAAAAGAATATAAAATGTTATACCTTCCTGGCACATAATAGGCACTTAGTGGTTGTTTGCTATTTTTATCATCAATCTCATTTTTACAGAGAAAATAACCGAGGCCCACCAACACAAGGTAACTGCCCAAGATCACATAGCTAGTGGGTTACACAGCCACCTTTCAAACCCATGTCTATCCAACTCCAAAGTACACTCTCTTAACCTCTTTAGGAAATGGTCTGGTTTTTTTTTTTTTTAAACCCTGTTGAAGTTATAAATTGATCTTTTTAAAGATAATTTAATTTTAAAAAGGAAGGAAGGAAGGGAGGGAGAAAAGAGAAAGAGCAATTGTTCACACTAGATGCTTCAAGTTGAACTCTATTTTTTTTTTAAGATTTTATTTATTTATTTGACAGAGAGAAATCACAAGTAGGCAGAGAGGCAGGCAGAGAGAGAGGAGGAAGCAGGCTCCCTGCTGAGCAGAAAGCCCGATGTGGGGCTTGAACCCAGGACCTGGGATCATGACCTGAGCCGAAGGCAGCGGCTTAACCCACTGAGCCACCCAGGCGCCCAGTTGAACTCTATTTTAATAAAGTGACCGGCGCATTGCTTTTAGCCTAAGGAATAAATCAAACTCTGAGTTTACTCCTCTTACCATTACTAACTGAAGTGACCTTGAATAAGTCACACTGTGATCTTGTTTAGTGGCAATGTATAAAACAGGCACAGAAAAACAAGCCTGTCCCGTGTGTGTGTGAAAAGTATGAAGAATCAGAGAATTTAATTTATTTTAACCTGAAAAAAGACCTATTTAAAATAGTCTCATTATATACTCACCCCCACTGGAATGCTGAAAACGGATGTTAAAAATTTTTTGCAAAGCACAGTCTAAATTGTATAATGTAAAATTACGTTATACATAGAAATACATTATACTTGTACATAGTTGCAATGAAACAGCCATCCCATAAAAATACATGACATTAAATCAGGGAATTTCAAAAGCCAGAGTATAATGTGAAGAGAGGTAGACAGCATAAAGCTGGGGTGTACTGACAGGGTCATCTTTCTGTAACTTCAGGAGATGGCCCTATGGAATCATTGGAATTCTCTAGGAACTCCTATTATTCTTTATCTCTATTCTGTATCACAAGTTCCATTGCTACTTTATATGGGAATGATCTGATATCTACTTATTAGGTCAGCATTCCAATGTAATGGAAAAAAGTCTACCTAGGAAACAAAGACCTTATCAAATAGTCCCGGCATCAACTCAGTGCTGTCACCTTAGACAAGGCTTATAATCTCTGTATGGTTGGTTGTGTTTCTTTGTCTATAAAATGACAACAGTCAAACTAGATTTCTAGAGTCCTATGCTATGGTTTTTACAAAATCCATCAATAATGGGGCCATCACCAAGAAAAAAACATTTCTGTGACTGTTTTCTCAAAAGTACCCTGCCCTGAGTCATTAGCTGCCTCATATCTTTTGCCAAGTAGGTCTTTAATTTGTTACATTGTTCTCTTTGTCTGAAGCCACCTAGAGAATATCTCAAAAAGATACCATGAGTCGGTTAAGTAAAGTTCATACAATAAGACAAACTGCTCAAAAATAGGTTTTAATTGTTATTTATTTGTTTAAAGTTGTAAGGCATAAATTGGGTGATTGTTTTAACAAATTATTTTCTGTAGGAGGCTCACTATTCACTTCAGCCAAGTCACAAAATAACCTTATTTTGTTGTCAGATATCCTCTCCAGGGGTGCCTGGGTGGCTAAGTCCATTAAGCATCATTGACTCAGGTCATGATCTCAGGGTCCTGAGATCAAGTCCCACATCAGGCTCCCTGCTCAGGGGAGGGCCTGCTTCTCCCTCTCCCCACCCCAACTATCTCTCTTTAAGTCTTTAATAAATAAATAAATATCCTTAAAAAAAATCAAGTTCTGCCACGTTTAGCTAACAAAAGTCCTGTTTTTCATTTAACTTCTATCTCAAAGGGCTCACATATATTAAAAGTACGTAATTATTCTCAATTCACAGGTAGATGTTAAAAGCAACCCAGAGGGCAACTGACTTCTGTGAAGCCCTCCAGTATCTGCAACAGACAGGGCTGACCCACATCTTTCAATGTCTTTGTAAACTCCAAAACTTTAAAATGAAAAATCTTAATCACGAACCTCTCTAATTTCACTCTTGTGAGCTTCCCTCCTACTTTTAAAAAATCTATCTAGTTGGCATGAATAACCTTCAAAATGAAATGGGAACTCCGGGAAGCAAATCATCTGGGCACGTCAAGCACCTCTTGATCCGCCCTCCCTCCTGGGCTTGCTTTCTATAAACAAGCTGAGAGGCTGCACTCATTCTAGTAGTCTGACCTCCTGAAGCGGACATGTGAATACGAGTGCAATGGATACTTCTGTAACACAGAATGTGTTTGAGAGTCTCAAGTCATTAAGAGCTCAGCAGCTCAAAATGAAAACAACGGAGTGGGCAAACGGTATTAAAACAATGAGGTTAAAGCTTATGTAAATTAAACCTTCTCTCCTCTGATACCTGGCCAACAATTTGCATTCAAAGTAAGGCTATCTGGTTGGAGCCCTTTTCCTTAGAATCACTAGAACACTTAGTAGCAAGGAGAGGAGCATACCTTGATCCCGTGCCATCATTTCTGCCTTGATAATCGCAGGTGCACTGTGAAGGACATGAACAGCTCACTCCCTCCGAAAAGCTAATAAGTACAATGCACAGACATGCGGAAAGACGCATCGCTCCTTCTTGAGGTTATTTGAACAAAAAGTAAAAACCAAATCCTAAGCTTCAGAAACTGGTGTGCCAGGAATACAAACAGCCATTTAGTAACAGCAGATTACATGGGATTAGCCGAGCTCTGTAGTTACTTAACCTTCAAGTGTATTTTACAGGGGATCAATCGACCTAGCCTTTGAATATGGTTTCAACTCAGTAACACGTTCTAAGGAAAATGAGACTCAAGCACATGTCAAGAAAATTTCAATAGGTTCCCATATCCAGATTTGTAAGGAAATGCTTATTAAGTCCTTTTTCTATGGATGTAATTGCTACTATTATCTTGAAGATACACCTCATGTTAAGAATAATTGTCTTTTAGCAGATGCTAGAAAATACTGCAGATTATTTATAACATTATAAATTTTTTTTTTTTTTTTACATTTATAGTCTCCAAAAACAAAGTTAACAAAATCAAGTACCTAGATTTTTTTTTGGGCAAAATGCTTCAATCCACCACTGAGTGGCAGGACTAAGACTCTGGCTTTCCCAGGTCACTTCGGGGCAGTGTAAGGTTATCCCAGTAGTTTCTAACAAAGGCCATGATCTCGTTCAGGAATATATTTTATTCTTAAGTAGTTTTTCAACATAGGCATCAAGCCATATCTGACAGATCAGCTGTCATGTCTTTTAGCAAAATTAGGCTCTATCCAAAAATAAAAATTAAATTCAATCATTAAAAACTACCTCCATGTACACAAGATGGAAAATCCTCATGGCAATTGACAATCAAGGATTTAGGTTTTATAAACACAAACACATATATATATAATATATATCTGGGCATATCAAGTACCTCCTGATTAGCCCTGCCCACACATATATATAGAATTTAATCTTGTTATTGTATAGTGGTTCTATCAACAATCTTTAAACCAAAACCCTTTCAAAAGAAAGTCAATTCTGTAAAAAATAAGATTATGGGAAATGTTTAAAATTGATAGGATGCATACAGAAAAAATAAAGGCAGAAAAATTTGTTCAGTTAAAATAAAATACCACAGATTTTATTTTCTTTTTTAAATTAAAAAAAAATTTTTTTTTAAAGATTTTATTTACTTATTTGACAGAAAGAGATCACAATTAGGCAGAGAGGCAGGCAGAGAGAGAGAGAGAGGGAAGCAGGCTCCCTGCCGAGCAGAAAGCCCGATGCGGAACTCGATCCCAGGACCCTGAGATCATGACCTGAGCTGAAGGCAGCGGCTTAACCCACTGAGCCACCCAGGCGCCCCTATTTTTTTTAAAGATTTTATTTACTTACTTAACAGACAGAGATCACAAGTAGGCAGAGGCAGGCAGAGAGAGAGGGGGAAGCAGGCTCCCCACTGAGCAGAGAGCCTGATGCGGGGCTCGATCCCAGGACCCTGGGATCATGACCTGAACTGAAGGCAGAGGCTTTAATCCACTGAGCCACCCAAGTGCCCCAATACCAGAGATTTTAAATGTCCACTATTTAAACAATGGTCATTTAAAACAACAAATACATGAGTCTACAAATGCATTCAACATTCAACAATGTTTTTTATTGAGCACTTACTATGTGCCAGGCAAAATGCATCTACCTGCTAAGGATACATCAAAGAACAAGTAAACAGTTATCAATGGACATAAAGTCTCAGTTAAGCAAGACAGTATGTTCTACAGATCTGCTGTACACAGTTACCAATACTGTATTGTACACTTAAAAACTGGTTAAGAGGACAGAGCCATGTTGTGTTCTTGCTGCAATAAAATAAATTTCAGACAAACAAAACAGGAAAAAAGGAGAACAAATATAAACCCCCCATGATTAAATTAATCCTAGTGGCAAATATATGGAAATACATACACAGAAAAATGTAAATTAAAAATGCAGAATACATAATAATATGCAGAGATTACATTGCTATGTAAGGTATATATGTACATCAGCTAATGTGATTTAGAAGCAACAGTGTTTAATATTTTTGTTAAATAGTAGAAGTTAATAATTGTATTACAATTTGAGAAGTGTGAAATGCTTAAATATTTTTCCATCTACCTAGGAACATCCAACAACTCATTTCAGTAATTTACTTATTGAAGACTATTATTATTATTATCATTATTATTTATTTATTTTAACATTAAAATAGTGGCTACTTCTAATCTAATGGAGAGCCTAGACAAGTTACGAAGTCACTGATAAAGTATAATGAATCCCATGATTGGGAGAAAGGGAATGGGCCTTAATCTCACATGCCTAGAGTCATCAAAAGAGATGAACAGTAAATTTACATGAAGAAAATAAACAATCACTACAATAGCCATCCCATAAACAGAAGAATGAGGAGCTAAACTTGGGGAATTTAGGGTCTAATAAGAAAATAATCTATGTTTGCATCTGATCTAAACAGGATCATATTTAAAATAAAACTAAACCACTGGGGAATAAGGTAAATAAAATATTTTGACACTGTGTACTTTTTCTCTTACTTCAGTTTCTTCCAGAAGCCAGTGGATTTTGAGATACGTCCATTGGTAAAATACTCATCATGGGCGTTGCTTGGTGAGCCTGACATTTGAACATGGCAAACATTGCCTTCCGAAATCTACAGTAAGAAAGGGGAAATCTGGCATTATCCTATGATGACTTGGAACTTTTAAAGCATTTTCGAACATGGCTAAGATGCCTCTACTGCTAACTGACATCTCCAAATACATTTTTGCCTCCAATTTTAACATCTTTCAAGAACATTCATGAATGTATAAAGTATACGGTACAGTAAAGACCAGTTTTGCCCCATTAATTATAAACATTGAAGACACTTAATAAAAATCAGTATGTATTAAGATGACACTTCAAATGTCAGTTAAAATTCACTTGAACTAAGGATGTATATTTCACACATTTGTTCTTCTGAGCAAAGGCCAGGTGAAATTAAGGGGAGCTTGAGAACGACTAATCTTTCCAAAAGAACTACCAATGGACTCTGAATTTAATATATGTTCTTTATGCTTCTTATGTGATCTGTTTGGTCTTAAAAGTTTTTATGTTTCTCTGTGTACCTGTAGCTAAAGCTGTTCTCCAAAAAATGTGCATAAGTACAAACGTTTGCATTTCAGGACGAGATTGCCTGGCCTCTACTGAGATTTTTTTGATCAAATATTTAAGGACAATAAATTGGTTATCCCATCTTTTAGCAGTAACAGGAAGTAAAATAATCTAGACTTCACTGAGGAGCCAGAAATCTTTGCTAAGTTCAGGATTCTTTATTATCCTGAATAACTACCCACTCCTGAAGCCCTTTTATTTTAGTGTGGAGTTTTTCTCTTGCATTTGAATATCTTCTAATAAATATGCAACTATACCACCTACTTGTGGAGCCCAACTTTGCCTTCCTCACTTTGTCCATTTTCTGATAATAATACCACTCTTTTCTTTGGAAAAACAATTGGATGAAAAATGAATTGGAGAGGGGATAACCATGAGAACTAAGCAAAGCCCACCAACAACCTTCCAGCAGCTTTTCTGACAGAAAGCCATCTGAGATGAAACTCAAATTTGGGGAGGCTTAGCTGGTAGAACTTGGGTCTTGGGTTGCTATAATCCTCTCCCCTCCATATGGGAAGAGGCTGTCACAGAACTGGAGCTCAAGGCATTTAAAGGCCTAGATGCTTCTCCAATTGCATGAGCCAAATTTTTACACTAGTTTAAAGGAGTTTCTGTCACTTACCTCCCCAAAAAACTTTTTTTTTTTTTAAGATTTTATTTATTTATTTGACAGACAGAGATCACAAGTATGTCTACTTGTGCAGGCAGAGAGAGAGAGGGAAGCAGGCTCCCTGCTGAGCAGAGAGCCCGATGTGGGACTCGATCCCAGGACCCTGAGATCATGACCTGAGCCGAAGGCAGCGGCTTAACCCACTGAGCCACCCAGGCGCCCCCCAAAAAACTTTTCAACAATCTTTCTATATCCATTTTTTTTTTAAATTTAAAAGCATCTTAAACATTACTTACTTTTTGTTAGCAACCACGTAAATACAGGGATTGTAGACTGTAGAAGATTTTGCAAACAGCGGAGCTATGATGGCCATTGAGGGAGGAATCTTCTTTGGGTCACCAAAAGAAGCCCATAAACACACAATGGAATAAGGGGACCATGCCACCAGAAACATGAGTATCATTATCACAGACATCTGTAAAATAAATCAATATTTGGCAAACCCGATATCTAAAATATTGAAGTAGCTACTATATTTAAAATAGCATGAATAATTATCTAAATAGGAATTTGAGTAAGTTTATGTTGTTGATGACATAGAGGAAAATCTGAACTTTTCCAAACCTCGTTGTACTTTGCTTCTGTGCCTCGAGTCCTCTATGATAGCAAGAGCTTGTTAAATGGATAGAATGTTAATGTAAAGTATGTCCTCTTTCTTTTAGTGTGCTAGAGAAGAATACAAAAGTTGGCTTTGAAGAGAGGCAGATGAAAATGCACTCCTAACCCATATCTAGTAATTGTGCTATGGACTGCCGGCATTGTGCTTTTTCCCCCCTCACTGTCTTTATCTGCTAATCTGAAAAAAATAACTTTCTAGCTTTGTAAATTCAATCTGGAAAAAAATGAAATCTTGCCATTTGTAACAACATGGATGGACCTAGAGAGTATTATGCTAAGTGAAATAAGTCAGAAAGAGAAAGATTAATACCATATGATTTCATTTATATGTGGAGTCTAAGAAACAAAACAAATGAACAGACAGAAAACAAAAATAGACTCATAAATACAGAGAACTGGAGGTTACCAGAGGAGAGGAATATAGGAGGATGGGCAAAATAGAGGAAGGGGGTTAAGTGGTACAAACTTCCAGGTATAAAATAAATAAGTCATATGGATGGAAAGTACACAGCATAGGGAATATAATTAATAATATTGTAATAACATTGCATGGTGACAGATGGTAACTGCAGTTACTGCAATTGAATTACTATGTTGTATA